GCTTATACATGAAGTGAATTTTGGCAGTACTTTTTGTTGTTGTTGTTGTTTTTAGTTTATGCATTTCGATCAACATACCAGTGATCCACTACTCTCATCTTCCTCTTCTTTCGCCGCCCACTACACTATTGCATGCATTTTGCAAAGCGACAATGCAAAACGCTATGACCAATGCCGCCGCTGCCAAGTCAGCTTCACTGTCAGCTGCCCTCAATCGCATTCCTTTTGTGAAAGTTCACCCGCGCGTTTAGCAGACTCGCAACGAATTATAAATCAAAGTAGCGCAAAAGGAATGTGGCATTTAATAAACATAAAACAACAATGAGAAACACAAATGCAATCGCACACATTCTTATGTATGGTTGCTATAAATAATGTACTTTCTTCTATAGTAAGTATGTATATCATATGCATAAATTTTACAGATAATTTAAGCGAATATAATACTATTTATATATCACTTTGACTTTTGTTCTAACTCGCTGAAACTAAGCAAAATAATTACCAACGTGTTAAAGGCTTGTTACAAGGAATCGTACATAAGTAGTTCAAACTCTTCTTTGTAGTTGAGAAATGTACGTTTTGAAGTCAAGCGAAAAGTTACTAATACAAGTAATTTTTAAGCAAAAAACAAAACCGACTTATATTCTCATATAAAAAAATTAAGATTATCGTTAATTTCTTCATGATCTAATGATAGGATCTAACCCAAATTAGTATGAGGTAAGACCTTTACTTTAAAAAAATAATTGTAGAAGCGTTTTGGTTTTTAATATCGCCGTAATTCGATAAAAAAAACTTTAGCTAATCTTTTCTTCCGCAATTCGTAGGCCACCTAGTTAACATATATGAATGTATCTTGCTTCATATTTAGCATAGATATATCAAGTTTTCGGCGTCAATAGTTGCAAGCTGATAAGCACTTATAAACTTTGAAATGCTACATATCGTGAAATCTGACTAAATAACTTCTTTTGTTGTACAACGTACATATTGGGCCGTATGAATAAAAACTAAGAAAATGCTTTTTCTTAAAATTTCATACCGTTTACTTCAATTTTGTTTGAATAAATCGAGTAAAATGTCTGATATTTAAGAAAAAGCAATTGCTTATTTTTTATTCATATGGCCCATTATGTATAAGGGGATTTCTTCAAACGAAAGACTTAAGGAGCAAACTTTTAGTTACTCACGCCAATTCTCCCACAAGTACATACCAACTTTTTTTTTTGCACTCAGAAATATCAGCAAAGAAGCAAGCGAATCAATTTATTCACGACCAGAGTTGCCACTGAGGAAAAAAAATACTTACCATCCATGAAAAAAATTTACCAAATACTGAAAATTTCTACCAATAACTTTTTTAGATATTTTAATAAAAACTATAGTTTTGTTCTAATTTTTAAGTTATTTCAGAGAAGATTAAAATTGTTTTTTAAGGAAATTTTTTATTTAACTAATGATATGGTATTTGAGATGATATTAACGGCATCTTCTCGGTTTTCTTCAACCAAAAGCGAAAGTGACAGTTCTAAAAGCAACAGGGAAATTTGATCATTTTAAAAAAATTCAACTAGAGTTATAACTTATAATATTAATATATAATATTATAATAATTATTGTAGACAAATACAGGCACTCAAACAACTGCTTGGCATTTTTATTTCAATTCAAAATTCCGAACTTTTTAGAACAATTTCGGTTATGCAGCTTTATAGCCTATGCAATTTTAGTTTAACCAACAATGTGCAGCTAAAAATTTCCGTTGATAAAAAAAAAAAATTCCACCGGTTTTCTGTGGTGACCTTTTACTCATTCTTTGTGAACAATCATAGCATGTATTACATGGCTGCTCATTTTTTATTCTTACTTAAAGAATCATTTAAAATATTAGGCTATAAAAAGCTGCTCATGATTCCAGTTAAATGAGTTTTGAATGGAGCACGATATGTTCGAATTTTATCGATATACATACGTATGTACATTAAAGCGTTCGAAAATTAATGCAATAAAGTAGAATACACTTTTGGAAAGAAATTTATAATATAAAGTTAACTACGGAAAATAAAATGGGAACTAAACTTTATTTGTTTTTAAATAAAATATTTTACCAAAAATCTACCAAAATGAGAAAAAATTTACTCTTTCACCAACCAAAATTTTTTTTATCAATTTTGGTAATAATTTACCAAAGTGGCAACCCTGTTCACGACTGTTGGTTAGTGAGGTGTTAATGCCCGTATTTATGCGAAAATAAATATGTTTAAGCATGAATTGGAGGATAAGCTTTAATTTTCCGAAACAAGTTTCGGAAAAGAAGAATGTTTGATATACAGTGAAAAAAATATCAGAAACTAAAAAATAAAATATTTAAATTCTATGCCATGTTCGGAACCCCATATTGCAGCATTTCCATAATGAAGATTATAAAACCAAAGTATCGAAATAAACTTTCAGATCTACATATTGGGGATCTACTTCGCACAAAGTTTTGTGAGGATTTAATAGATTTCCTGCCGGTTTCATGAAAGCAATTTAAGTAAGAATGTTTTTTTGTCTGTTTCTATATTAAATTCAAATAAAAAATAATTTGTTACTTAAATTGCTTTCGTGAAACTGGCTGTTAGAAAGTTTAGTTCAAAACAAAATCAATGACATCAGTTTTTATTATTCATAAAAAAAAATGTTTCATACTTACTCATACTTAACTTTCCACCTCGTTATCTTCCAGGCAAATGCGACATACGAGGTCCGGTAGTATGTTCAGCCTTACTGCATGAACACCGATTCGACAGTGACCCGTTAAAACCCCCACTAAAAGGGAGAGCTGTGGGTTTGTGAGGAGTGCCCTCGACCAACCCCTGTCCACCTTCAGCCGGAAGGACCTAGCAATCACGCATGGCTTGGTTTTCTACTAGCGCTTGCTGAGCTGACATGAGGCCCATCTATCCAAGAGTGTCCCACAAGTGATCAATGGCACTTAAGGCCGCTCTTTATCCAGCGGTAAAGTTTCGCTGGTACCTTTCCTAGAAAATTCGTCAACCACGCAGTTTCCCGCAATGTCGCTGTGACCCGGGACCCAAATAAACCTAATACAGCAGTATTCTGACGTGACGAGCAAGAAAAGTTCGTGTCTTAAGTCTTTCGTTGACTTAACTCGCATAATTACCTTTTAGTTATTTGTTCATTAATTCAATATTAAAAAATTTCAAACTAATGGAACGCTATGAGAAACATTTTGTTATCCCTTCCATTCTTCCATTCATAGAAGATTAGAATAAAAGTTACTGAGACTTTAGTTCCCAAATAGTTCTTCTAGAGAAAATTCCTTAGAATTTCGTTTCCATTGTGTTCTTTGCCAAAATGTTACGGAGACTTTTGTTTCCATTTTGATATTTTACGGGGTTTTATTTTCATACAATTCACCTTTGAGAACGTTCTCTACAGTTTTGTTCTCACCTTCGTAGTAGAAGCCCTTCAATTTGTGCCACTCCATACAAAAAAGAGAGGAATGTAGAGTAAAAGGCCTTTTAACCTCATGAAAGTCTTGCAGAGAGAAGAGCTTCTAACTCCTGAAATTATCTAATATGTATATATAAGATTTTAGCTTACTTTTGTTGTTAAATATTGTCTAGTTTCTATAAAGTAATTGTAACCGTACATTAAGTTTATATAATTTTCGTTGCTGATAATAAACCACACATGCAGGCAACCACTAGCAGAACACTAATAATTTTAGCTTAAATAAAGGAAATACCCATAGAAATTAACAAACTAAAATCTCCTAAAATTCTGGTTATCAAATAATATCCACTCCTAAAGCGAAAGAAGCTTCACACAAAAACCAAAACCGACATTGGCAAGCAAGCGAAGAAGGTGTTAATTTAATTATGACAACAAGGCGCCATCAACCAGAAGCGAATGCAAACAAACAAGAAACAAAATAATAGCTTAAGCTTTTAATAGCTGTTTAACGCCACGGTTACGTACGTTATTGTTTGTGTAAACTTTTTATTGGCTTTCTTTATATTTGCGTGCCAATAAAATGTTTGAATATGTTCAAGATAAACAACCATACCAACGCCAACATCAACAGAAAGAGCAACAACGTGTAGAGAAGACGTCTTGGCTTGCTTCACTGGCAATGTCTTAGCTGTGTTCGCACATCATCAAAACACTATAGCGTAACAGGAGCAGCAAGCGTGAAATAGCCCAAAATTAATAACAAAAAAAAAAAAAAATACGAGTTGGCTCAGGTTTTAAGCAGAGTTTACGCTGTGGGGCCATTAATCATTTAGTAGCAAAATTTTGCGTTGAAGTGCGAAGAATGGTAAATTTGAGCATGAATAATACATAAATAAGCGCTGAAGTACATCTATAAAAATGTGCATACATACATATGCGTGTGTATATTAGGGCGGGTCAATTTTGTTTGACTAAAGCATCGGAGGATTCTACTTGTAATTCTAAGCAAATTAGCAGAAGAAATCGTGGGTCCAAAATTAATTTGGAGTCTGTCAAATTACGAAAATAGGCTTTGAAGAAAATGGGAAGGTTTTCACTGTTGCGCCCTCTATTGGATTTTTACGAAAAAGATAATTGCAGAAATTAATCCCTCATACCACAAAGTCCCTCATGTTTTTTTGCAAAATTTAAGCACTTCTTTAGGACACTAATTTGGTAAACTTCGAATTAATTTTAGACCCATGGTTTCTTCGGCAAATTTGCTTAGAATTACACGTAGAATCCTTTTATTCTAAATATACGCATATAGAGGAAAAATTATCCCATACAAATTGACTCGCCCTAATGCATACACATATAGCAAACAAACCAATATAAAAGCAATTTCATGGCTTAATGAAGCTATTAAGGCAATAGTAGCATGATGTACCGCCCCGTGGCACCATACTGCGTTGCGTACGCAAATCCAGCCAAACGAATTTGGCGTCTGCACGGCAATTAATTAAAAGAACACGCCCATTAAAGCCCACATGGATTTATAAATTGGCGCTTACAAGAACGCAAGCAGTTAGCATACGCATAGCATAGAACTGGTGACAATATCCCAACGTTCAGTCATGAACATCCCTACATACACATGTTCGCATGCAGTTGACTTGGCCATTGGCACTCACTTGACTAGACTTTAGCGCATGCGTAGTCGTCTGCATGCGTGCAAACTGCGTATATGTATATGTATATGTATGTTTGTATAGCATATTTTCATGAATGCTGCACGCATTCTTCACTGCAACTAATCTAGATTGTGTGCTGCTCACCTTTGATTATGCTTTATGCAAATACGATCGCTCGTTGGCAGTCATACAACATCATCTCCATGCTGTCACGCATTCAATTAGTGAAAACTGCATTTTAAATATTTTATCATCAGCGTTTATCGCTGCCGGAGGTGTGGCACATTGCTGCTTTGATTAATTCAATTTTAATAGCTATGTAGAGTAATAATTTACGCACACTCATAAATGTACACATGAGTGTATCTAAATGTGTAGTTGTAACCTGATTTCAATTGCAAATATACATATACATATTATCTTCATAAAGTTTGCCCTTTTGTTGATTAAATTGATTAGTGAAGTGAGATTTAGGTACTTTGAACAAAGCTAATAAGTTTGTGTAAAATGTTACTATACAATTGACTAAATTTTGATTGGACTGACTGCAAAAAATATATTTGTCTAATAAGAATGTTCTAAAACTACACAGGGGAACCACCAGAAACCTGTTGTAGCCTTAAAATTAAATTTTTATTTTCGTTCGTCATTACTTATACTGAAAAGTCGGAAATACTGTAAGGCGCCACCGCGTATAAATCCAATAAATTTGTAATTTTTTACATTTTAACCTGTTTTGGCGGATTACTTTTTGGCGCATTTGCAGTTTTATGCACTGTGCAAAGTGAAGAACATTTTTTTTCTTTTTCTTCTTGATTGGTGCTGTAAACATAAGCAATTCTGACCGATTCTAATAAAACACGTCAATACTTGCTCTTCGGTGCCAACTGACACAAATTGGAAACGCAAAGTGAAGCCAAGTCTGCCCCACCTGGGACTCCCCTCACAGAGGAAGCCTTCTTCTTCCCTCTATAATTTAAGTATGCTCTCAAAATCGGTCATTAGATCATCTTGGTTTTTCTTACAGAAGTTTGCCCTTGTCTTGAATCCTTCCGTTAGTCGCCTAACCCTCTGATCACATTTTCGGGAGTTTTGTTTTGTCGGCCATAATTTCAAGCTTATCGAACTCCCGTATTTCGGCCTTTCTCTTCTTATTGTGGAAAATACGTCCCGCTTCCCTCTTCAGTTCCCTGCAGCGGTGCCACATAGCTACGGTTGCGCACGATCTCAGCGTGGCCCTATAGGAGGCGTCTTTTTTCTCTGTGGCTTCTTGACATACCTCATCGTACCAGTTGTGCTTTCGGGCTCGCTGAAATCCAACTACTTCTTCGGCGGCGGTACTTAATGAGCCGAAAATGCACTGCTCGCGTACGTCGGTTTGTTGAAGAGTGCTCTCTGAGAGCAGGTGTGTGAATGGTGGTCCGAGTCGGCGTTTTGGCCTCGGAGTGCACGTTCCTCTGAAATACTGGAAACTAACCTTACGTTTATCACAACATGGTCAATTTGGTTTCTTTTCTTTCGATATGGAAACAGCCATGTAGCTTGATAGATCTTTTTATGCTGGTGTCTAAAACTACATAATACCACGTTTCGGGCCCCGTTGAAGTCGATAAGCTTCAGTCCTTTACCGGACGTTTCGTAAGGGAGGCTTAATTTTCCGACAAAGATTCCTTCCTTCCCTTCTTGGCATTGAAACCCCGAAGCACAATTTTGATATGATGTCATGACTTCAAACATTTTTTTTATGTGTGATACCGCATAAATTTGATCCACGTTAACCAATTTCTATAATTTTTTAAAGGAAAGGTGGTTCTTTAGAGGTGGTCCATACTAATTAGGTTTCAATCCGGTCGTTGAATTGTGAAGAAGTTGATGGTACTCCTAAATTTTTATATGAGAATTAAAGTCGGTTTTGTTTTTTGCTTAAAAATTACTTGTTTCTAGATACGAGTACCGAGGTCTTCATAAATAGAAGGGAATCTCATCCGAGGCAAGACCCAATGGAAATTTTTTTCTTTATCAAATTTGGTAATGTGGTGGGTATTCAATTTGGTAATTTTTGCGTTTCGGTCCTACATATTTGTTCAGTAGAGTAGATTCTTCCCGCCCATAGGTCCTACTTGAGAGGCTAATTTTATAAAGAGGAATACTTCTATCTACATGTAAGAATTCTTTAAGTCTTTGCTTCGGAAGCTTAACAAACTCGAGGAATTAACGTTCAACGGATTTACACTAAGAACTCCTACTGGCCTGAGAGCACTAATGCACCAATGCTCTAAATATGGCATATGCCAACAAATTCTCTGTAGAAGTGTCGTTTTGAGGAATTGGAGGAATTTTGTTTGTCCTTCTATACACTTTATGCAAATATGTTAACATTTTGAAGTTTGTAATTAAACACTACTCACAAACCTCGAGTCTCCGGGAGCTACTCGGCTTTCACATACCGAACTTATGAGCGCCGCTAGCAGCCGGTCAGTTTGCGTTTGTACTTCATGCTGTAAGGACCCTGCAAAAAATACGACTAATCCGGGACGACTCCGGGAGCAATCGCAAAGGAACAGACGACTAATACCACTTTTGATCTCTTTATATGGAATGAACTGCTCGCATTTGTTCGAGCATGTCCTAAGAAGGGACTAATTGTTCCCCTTATACGCGAACGGGTATAAAAAGCGACTAATCACTTTTAAAAAATAAAAAAAAAAATTTTCGCCAGCTGCGGTGTTCTCAGTTATGTTAGGCGAATACTCTCTCTATGTACCAACGCCGCACATGAAATTTTATTGACTAAATGCGTACATATCTTTAAATCGTTAATAGAGATGAGTCGGGGGACTAATTGATTTCCAATTATATCCACAAGGGATGAGTCAAAACTAATTGATCTCCTTCGCGTGGTACCCGTATAAGACTAGTTGCGAGACTAGTTGCGAATAATTAGTGTCCAATTGTACCCGATAGAGTAATCTCGGAATACCATGTCTATCCATCCGTCTGTCCGCCTGTATGTCCGTCCATGCGTCTGTCCGTGTACACGCTAACTCGAGCAAAAATTTAGATATCTCAACGAAATTTGGTATGCGGGTTTCCATTTACCCAAGGTAGGTTGGTATGGCAAATGGGCGATATCGGACTGTAACCATGCCCACTTACCATATAAGGATATTTTCAAAAAAATGCAAACACTACGATATTTCAGTAAATATTGGATACAAATTGATTGAAGATTAGTATGTGAAGTAGATTTTGGGTGAAAAATGGGCGTGATTCCGCCCACTTACGATGAAATGCTGTATCTCAGTAGCCGCTTCACCAATCCTTGCCAAACTCGGTACGAGCCATGCCTAAGGCCTAGCTAAGGCATCTGTTGAAATTGAGAAATAACCACGCCCACCTCCCATATAACGGTAATTTACACTTACGACCACAAAATCGGTACATTTATCACCCTTAGTACGGAAAAGAAATTCGTGAAAAAATTATTCAAATCGGACTTTAAATTACACCCGCTTCCAGTATAACGGTAAGTTTCAGAAATATGAAAACTCCGATATTTCAACAACTGAGGACGCTAATTTACTCAAAAGTTAATAACTACATCGATCCCTTAACAATAAGTAAGAGTCCTATAGACTTTTAGGAATTGGGCGTGACACCGGTAAACACTTTATCGATTTCTACCAAAGTTGGTTAAATTATATCACTAAACATAACTCAGCATATCGAATAAAAGGCAAAATAAGAACATATGAAGGCATTTAAACTATCCATAAATTTGCATCAGTACTTTTATAATCGGCAAAATATTTTCCTTTTTATTGGCTTTGTTTTTATTTGTGCCAAATAATTTTGGTATGGCTGAAGTCAACGCAAAAAGTAGTATCGAACCTTATTTTTTTGTAGCTAAACGGTTGGTCTTCTAGCCTTGTTCTCATTCGCCACGACTATTTCGGACAATATTTCNGAGAGAGAGAGAGAGAGAGAAGCAACGTCTACGTCTCACGGTCATGCGGTGGTGAGTTTTTGTTAACACGCAGATCTCATAAGTTGGATCGTGTCAGCTGACGTATTCTCCGTTTTTACGTAACTGCACTTTAAACGTGCACAGATGCTTGCTGTTATTTGTTAGCTTACAGCAAGTTCGGACTCGAATGCCGTCAGCGGCAATACATAAGTTTTTTTTTCTGTTTTGTTTGTTTTAATTACGAAAATTTATTTCTGGCCAAGGACTGTCAGCAACAGCAACACTCCCCAAATACTCTTTGGGGGAATCTGTAATAATAAACATTTTCTCGTTTTTATATCCGAATTAGAAACGCATCAAGCGACCAAATCGACAACCAAAAATTGATTTAATGTAAACAAAAGTGTGGTTAATATTACCATGAAAATATCAACCACGGCGTTGTTAGATTAAAAAAAAACAAAGGAATTTTTGTTTCCTTTTCAAGTTTGAATTTGGCAATTTAAACCAAATGTTGGTTGATTTTTCTTCTTTTTTTTCAGTGCGCTTTAGATTCAGCTCAATACAGTTCCTCCAATTTATGTTCCGTTTTAGATTAGAGAGAGGTTTACACCTCTAGGGAATGAGAGGTAAATTTTTTTCCAATTTTATGTATTACCTTTCCTTATTAAATTTTGCTTGGCTACAAACATGTTTCGGAGTTTCCCCACTCACTTGAATATATTAAAATAATGCACTTTTTTAATAATAAACGACACTAGATATTAAATTTATATAAATATGTATTTCACTTTATTGGTTTCATAGACTTAATCAGTACAATTCGTATAAAAAAGACTAAAGCTAAATATTATATTTAATCAATGCTTTCGTTAAATATTTTAATATTCATAATATTTTTAAGCAATTCAACTAAGCAATTTCACAAAAAATCAAATGGATCCATTTAAGTTATTGCAACGTTGTATAGACTTTTGATTCTTTTAATTGTGTATTTTGCTTTATTATTACTACTTCTTCTCCAATCTATTATCTAAGCTTCACAAAGTGCAGTTTTACGTTGCCTTTGCTAAAATAATAATAATAATAATCGTTTAAAAATATCTAACTACAGAGCACCACCTTATGCATTCACGGTGTTCAGGTGTTCATTCTGAGCGTGTATATGTCTTTGTGCTGGAGCGTTTGAATAAATAGTAAACAAAAAATAAAGTGTAGTACTTTTTTTCGTCTTAAGTAGTTCATACAGTCGTGGTCTATATAAATATGTAAATAAATAAATAGTTTTAGAAGTTATGTTTATGAGCTGTAAAAATTCTTTTAGGCAAATTTATTATCATATTTGGAGCCAACGGATATGCATTGGCATGACATGTATTTTTTTGTGTTANCGAGCGCATTGTGCATTCAAATTTGTAAGCGCAGTGAAAGCGTTAGTTCCTAACTTCGCTTTGCGCCTTAATTAGTTTGTCTTCTAGGTTTTTCCATGTTAATAACGGGACTTTTTAACATGGCATTATTTTAGGAGATGCCAGTTATCAGGCTTTGCAACAGTATCGAACAGTTGACATACTAGTAAGCCTTCGTCATAGCTTAGGCCACTTTTTTAAATAGTTTCCCTGTATCATCAGCTAATGAAATACAATTTTTGTTTTGTTCACGCTGCTAAAAAAGTCACAAGGGTCGGCGGTGTATTGCAGAAGCATGGCTCTGAGCAAACTCGAGCCAGGAATCTCAGAAACAAAGCAGAAGTCTTCCCGATAAGTCATAGTCACCATACGGACAAATACCGATTAATTGATATTTAGCTGTTCAAAGTAGACCAGCCAGTCAGCCTCTGTATGACCTCTTTCCATTGAATGAACTAGTCAGCATTCGCATCAGCTGACACTAGTTAATCTACTGACACTAGTTAATCTACTTCAATGCAGGGTATATTCATGCCTTTGTATGTACATTAGGGCGGGTCAATTTGTTTGGGATTTTTTTCGGCTATGCGCGTATAGCACAGAACGATGCCACGCGTAATTCTAAGAAAATTTTCCGGAGAAAACATGGGTCTAAAATCAATTTGAAGTTTGCCCAATTGCGAAAATATGCTTCTTAGCATTTTGCTGTAGTGTCGTAAAGAAGAGCTTAAATTTTCTTTAAAAAATGCTATGAGGGTTTTTGATATGAGGAATCCATGTCTGTATTTATCTGTATCTTAAAACTTCCATCAGAGGGCACAACAGTGAAAATTTTCACACTTTCCTCGAAACCTATTTTAGCAATTTGGCGTACTTCAAAGTGATTTTAGACCAATGTTTTTTTCGGAAAATTTAGTTAGCATTACATGTAGATAACTCCTTTCCTATAAGCGCATAGTAAAAAATTAAAAGATGACCCGACCTCATGTACATACAGTCATACATACATACTCATGTGGTAGTGCAGTTGTGGGTTTTGCCGTTGGCGTATTTTTGTTTGTGCAGTTTTACAGCACAAATATAAAGTAAATAAATATGAAAAGTTACAAGCTAGCTTGTTAACGGTTTAGTGTAATAGGATTTTATGTTTTTATTTTTAGTTTTATTTTAATATTTAATAGCTCATAAATATTTTTATATGCACTTTTGGATGAATTATTAACTTAACTAGTTTGCGTTTAACTAAATTTTTCATTTTTTATGTCTGTCGTTAGCATAGAAATTATTTTAGCAATTTTCTCTCTAACTTTACTCACATAATGCGCAGTCCTAAACAGTAATTTTAGCTTACGACTTTACGACTGCAGCCAACTACCTCGTAGATTTTGTTTATATATATGTATGTATATGTATAGTCTTCAGTCAAACGGTTCATTAGTTTTTAGTATAGTCTACTTCATTAAAAAAAAAAAATAGTCGCTAGTTAATTGAGGGTCAGTTGGTTTACTATCGGCCGACTAAAATCACCGTTAGAAGCGGCATTTTACTACATATAGTCAAATTATTTGCACCCTCCTTTACTAATACTAATTTAAATAAAATATATTTAGTTATTTTCTAAGAGCTAAGCTAGGCTAAATGTTTACTAATATCGAAATATCCATAGAATTTGCTAAATGAAAGCAATCAAATGATAACTGAAATTTTTCTTTTGACTTCATTGTTCTGATTAGATAATCCCTTTTTCAAAGTAAGAAAAGTAAAAGATTTTAATATTTTTGCTTTCGTATAAAACTATACTATTTTGCATACTATACTACTGGATAAAAAAAAAATACGCGGCAGCGCATAGGCCTTACGCTTCGTATATTTTGCTGCAGTTTTTGTTTGCTAAATTTCGTTACGTATTAAAGTAAAAAACGAAACCTATTATAAATAAGGACAACTAACGCCTAAGCCTCGAAAATCTTGTGAATTTTGTGTGTATGCGTGTATGGGTGTCTTTACTTGTTTCTCTATGTGGCGGTGCTTTAATTGTTTGTGTTTACGTCTGTATAGTTTTCACTGTCAATTTGTTATAGTATTTAGTTTAATTTTGTAGAATACTTTTTTATTTCTTCCACCAGCCAATTAAGCAATCAAGCGTTCAATTACTTTCAATATTGCTGTCCATAACGTCCCGTCATGCCGCTATCGTAGAGCTTGCCCAGCGTATCGCTTGCATTGCTGCTAGCTGAGTGCGAAGCTACAGTAACGCCGCCGCAATGAGCGACAGCCGCTTGTCCATAGACCATCGGTGGAGCGCCATAATTGACAGCGCCAGCCGCTGAAGAATCATGCTGATACAAGTAGCGTTCCTTCTTCGAGCGTTTCTGTACAGTCTTCCAGATGATGTAGATAGTGAATTGAGCCAAGAGGAAAATCGCGCCGGCTACGATTAGACCTGTTCAGAGCAGAGCAAGAAAGAGAGAAAGGGGAAAAACATCAGGAAATGGTTAATGCGAGGAATTACTTTATTGGTAAGAAAAATATACATTTTAATCACTATAAATTTTTATTTTATTTCATATTTGCTTATGTACATAGAAAATCAAAGTGAACGTGTTTGTGAGGCTTAAAAGGGATTATTTCATAATAACAAACATTGACTGGGGAAATTTTTAAATGCATTTCAAAGCAAAATTTAAGAGTTGGAAATTATTTTATTTATTTTTAATTGCATGCATTCCCAAATACATATGTATGTACATCAGGGTGGTCCAACCTATTTTTTGAGGTTTTTAGGGCTTTATAAAAATATTGTTATTAGAAGTCTCGTGAAGAGAAACAAAGTCTTCCAATCGAAAAATATTGATTTTCAAGAGTTTTATAACATTTCTACGAAGACTGGTTTTTTCCCAAGACAAAAGAGTACATGGAAAACTTTGAGTGACCTCTAAATATTTTTTGATTTCAAAATAAAAAAAAACCAGGGGCATTAAAATTCTGACTTATTATTTTTTTACCACCCTCATGTGCATGGATTTGTATGCTGAAAGCTTTCTGGTTATATCGTCTGTTGCTCCTAAATTCATTTTTCGTTTACAACTTTTTTCACATAAATTTTAACATTTATTTGGTGTAGTTAAACAATTAAAATTTTGATATGCTTTACTTTTTCAATTATTTAGCTGACTTTGAAAGAAATTTACATAAATTTTTATTGTATAATAATATGTGGTATTAAAATCTATTAGCTTGCTATTTGGTTTGAATAACACTCTTATTAAAATTGTATATTTCTTACTGCCGAACTACTCACTTTTCTAAATTGTCTATTAAATATCCGGGATAATTAATTTTACAGAAAATTTATCAAGCATTCTAGACAATAGTTGCATTTCTGTGGCTCATACAAATAACTTATTCTCATTAACAAAATATTTCCCGTGGAAATGATTTTATAAAATTTTTTAAGCTTACTTTTACTAGCAAATACCCGGCGCCTTTCACTGCCAAAACTCTTTTGACTCCATTGATAAAGAATAAAGTAGATTCAAAGAGCTTTATGAAGCAGATTTTCAAACAAATTTTCGATTCATGAATCAATTTTTTTGTTTTTGTAAATGTGGGTGCTAGTTAATATATATAGTATATACAGTGGAGTAGCATGGCTATAAATTCAGAAGGCTAATGCTCAAGCTTACTAACGAGGAAGTTTTAGGGCTATATGTACCCGCTTTCTCTCGCAAAAGAGAGTCCCAACGAATTCTATCTATCGGAAGGATTTGAATAATTTAAGTTCAAAATCGGTGTGATTTATATTTTTAGGGAATAAAAAACATTGCAGGTGAAACACTAAAAATATAGTTTATAGTTTCTAGGTTCGGTATAGAAAAATTTTAAATAAAAAAGCGAAAGCGCGATTGATTCCATAAAAAACAACAGTAAGCACAAAGGAACATAAAACAATAACAGCCTTTTAAAAATTCTCTTCATCTGATTGGGGGCACTGTAATTAATAGTATTGTAATATTTGGACGATTACAACTTTGCTAAATGCTTAGCTGAGATTCTCCTTCAGATTATGGTGTCCTGATGGAATGCCTCACAATTTTACGTTGACTACGAATGGCAAATCGTTTTTTATGAACAGCTTTTTCTTTGAGGTTTGTTATTGCCTGCGGAGGGGCAACCGCTGAGAGCTTTTCTCAAAGCTTCGTTTAGATAAAATGTATGGAAAGCTTTGTAGAACTTATCATGGGAATGTATTAAATGCTCAGATCTCGACTGCATAAATTAAAATCATAGTAAGATTTTAAATTTTGTTTGCGATAAAGTTCAGTTTAGGTGGGTAAAATTATTATTTTATTTATTTGTTATAAGCTTCAAGCTGAAAGGTTGTTAAGCCGGTCACTTATGTATTTCTTTGTTTCTGTAGACATGTTTTAATGGGAAGAGTAAGATTTTCATCTATTCAAAATGTATCGTGGATTGGCCTTTTATGTACAAAAAAATGTAGTACTTATAGTAATGCCATGAATTTTTAAAGCTCATTTAAGTCGTCACCACCCGGTACTTGTATTAAGTATTCCAATTAAAATATGAAAGTGCATATGAGCATGAGTTTGGCAGCCTCGACGCTGTGCACTTTGAGCTTTTTAAAAGTGACGCCCAGAGAAAACTTCCTGCGTACGTCCATTCGAATAATAAAGAGAGCTTAAAAAGCTTCAGAGGTACATAACGCTTAGGGCACTTTTCCAATATTTGTGGATATTATTTGCCTAGATTTTAAATTGCCAAAGATTTAGTTCGAAAACGAGTTTTATGAATCAAAATTTGTATGCTAAAAGTTCTCTATTTCTTGCCTTCAAGCCCTCAATTTTTCATAAATTTTTGTAAAATTTTTCTAGAATTTATGTTTTATCACTTTCAAAAAAAAAGTACCACGAATTATTTGCATTTGCTATTCTTTCACTTGTTAGTGGAGAATACACTTTCTTGATTTTAAGCTTCACAATTTTCGCCACCCATCGCCATATTTAACACTCTTCACAAAAAATGCAAAGAATCTTAACTGGGACGCCCTCAATATGATGAGACAACTGACAGCAGTGTATGTAATTGAGGCTCAACCGCACACAATTGTCAAGAGTATCTAAGTATTAGGCATTGCCAGCCTGCAACAAACACACATAAGCACAAGCACAATCGCAAGCGCAAGTAAAATGAAGCCAACAATGCCATTAATGAATGACCAAAAGTTAGCAAAAATGCTTGCTTCTTAGTGTGAGCTGCCATTGTTGTTTCTAAGCATTTCACTGCTGCCGCACTTGTTGGTTTGGGTGTCCATATATACTCAAAAAATGCAATTCTATCGTCGCTGACCAAAAACTAAGCCAAAATGCGCTTGCAATACCAGAAAAGCAACGAAAACAGCGCATACTTAGGCAATGTAATATAAGCGCACACGCATGCGTTGTGAGCAACATTGTGGCCAACGGAGCATCGCTGAGAACTCAAAACATTAGGTTGGTGCTGTTGACAGCCTCAGCACACTTGTTACCGTCAAATACCAAATCGATTGCTGTATGCGACATAAAAAAGTACGAAATTACGCGCTGCAGCAGTGGCCATAAAAGAAAAGTGGAGAAAGTGGCTGTCACTATGGCTGTGACGCCCTGCTCAGTCTGCTGACGAATACACGTACATACATAGATAGTGACCGAAAAAAACTGCAGTGGCGATTGGGCGCGCTGCAGATTGTAACGAAAAGTAGGAAGGTGCAGGCAGATAATCTACGCTTCATATTTAGACACAAATCTAATTCCATTTCAACGCACTTACTCACCAACTAACTGACTGATGCGCCCGCCAACCTTCAACGGGGCTTCAAGCAATTCTTGAGACTAGTCAGTTGGCGTTGCTCTTGTGCGGCATGTTGTATAGGCGTTCAGCAGCGTTTGGAAACTCGATTAAGCGGTACAATTTTTCATTGTATGAAGTATGCGGGAACTTTTATTGTTTTCCATTATTTAGCTGGCAAAACGAATTAAAGTGTTTCTATTTGGCATTTGAGGATGAGTTGCTGGATTTTGATGCTCAGCGTTCGCAGGCGGTCATTAGGTTTTGAAGCGAAGACAAGCGTAGACGAATGGTCAAATAGTGAAACGAATTTGTTGGAAATTTGAAAAATAAATACATATGTTCAACTTTCTGCCACTTGTTGTCGTCTGGTCTGCCTGCAGCTGACCGACCGGCTTTCGTTCTTGCCACGGCACAAAATTTCACTTATTTTGGCGGTCGTACGCGCATTTTGTGTGTCACTGAGGCGCACTTGCACGTACACATTCTGTGCGTAGCCGCAGCTGCTTGCCATGCCAGCTTTTTCTGTGCTGCTCTAAACGCTTTCTGCATTTTTGTTTTATTTTCGTTTTGATTTTACGCGGCAGCTTTGCTGTCATTGCGCGGCTGTCCATTACTGGCTACATTTGGTGGCAGCTGCATTGGTCGTGGTCGTGCCGCATGATTTAAACTTGTTTGCTTACAATTTATTTATTTGCTAACATTTATATTTTTTAATTTCTCTACTGCATGCTAATGTATGTAAATATTTGTCTTATGATTCTCTTGCATTACCAAATGTAAGCAGGTTCTTAGAGCAAATGTGCACCATAAGTATGTATGTATGTATAGAGGTATATGTATGCGGTTGCTTTCATCATAAATTCTTTTTATTAATATTCTGTTTATTCTATTTAATTTGGAAGCGCTTGTCAGGTTCTTGTTTGACTTTTACTGGTTTTATGTTTAGATTCTATGATTTACTGTGATTTTAATTTTCTGTTGAGTATTTGTTTTTTTTTTGTAACTTTCTTGGCTGTTTGTTGTAGTTTGTCTAACCGATGCAAATATGGGTGGCAAATCCATTTGGTTCGGTTTTTATTTTCTCTTAGAATATTAATTTCTGACAGCTAGCTCTAGTAAGTTTTTCTTTCTATCGGTACGTTAATATTTCTGTGGAAAATTGATTCGGTCGATGTCAATTTCGTTGGATTTTATAGGAGTTTGGATGGATCTAAAGTTCACAGTCTCGTGAAGATGTGGATTCATTTTATACTCTAAAAACTCCAATATTGCTACCTTTGTTTGTATCAAGGAGGATGATACCTTTTTAAGTTGGTTTCGAGACCGAATTAAGTCTACTCATTCAGCGTAAGGTAAGCAGTGGTACGGTAAAGAGTCACACCTCTCACATCTTCGCGAATTGTAGCTGTGACCAACCTGCTATACAAGCTAAAGAGAGGAGGTTTTAGGAATTTTTAACCCAGATGTAGTGGCCCTTTTAAAGAGGGTCAATCTCTGAATATCATTTGCGATCTGATCCAAAGTTACTTGCACCTCTTGACTAAGTGGTCTGCTTAGAGTAGTACTACAAGTCTACTATAACTTCTAATAAGACGAACACATCTCCTTCACTAGGCAGTAGCAGACAGCACACCCAACTTTTCTATCAATTGTTGGCTTCTATATACTGTTGCAGAGAGAAAAACTAGGTAAAAGATGGAGCCTTTGTCCGGAGGCAATTGGCTGGCTCAACTGAAGCGTAGGGAACCTCAAATTTTTTTATAGGAACTTTGTATGACCAGGTCCGGTCAAAGCAAATTGCGAATGGCTGACCTTTCTTCGATCACGTCTGTGCTGTTTGAGCATACTGCATTTCGGATGAGCTGGCCCGTTCTGACGCCCTCGCGTCTTACTCAACAAGAAAATAGGGAATGGTAGTACCTCTAAATGCATGTGGACTACTCTTGGGCAGATGGGCCTAATACTAGGTTAACGAATACGAGACAAAACACAAGACACGTGCTACTGCTAGGTCTTTCTGGCGGGGAGTGGAACGTGGGTGGCCAAAGGATCTCACTTGGCTCTCGAAGTCCCAACTCTCAGTTTGTGTGCTGATACTAAATACATAGGACTGCGAAATTTAACTTTAATTTCCTCGCTTCAACAATTATGCTATTTTTTTTTAATGTCTAAGTATGATAAATTAAAATATATATTTTGTTTTATTTTTCTAGCACGTCGAGAATTTTTTTTATTGGTGACTTACATATTTTAAAATTTTAACTTAAAAAGAAATAGTATTAGGTAAAACTACCCATAAAGAGACTAAGCAAATCAGAAAAATTTATGTAATTTGGAAATTAAAGCTGAGAAAACTGATAAAAAATATTTTCTTAGCAAATAAGGCGCATTAATTCGATATTACATACGTTTTTTTTTTTGGTTTACTTAGTCTTTTTATAGCTAGTTTTTTAACTAATACTATTATTTTATAAGTAAAAATTCAGTTCTACATTAATTAATTTTTGGGTTTTCATGCAAATTGCTAAAATTTTGATTTCACCAATAAAAAAATCTCGACGGGCTTAAAAAACATTGTTCTAATTACGGCTCGTAAAATTATCCGACTACATTTTCGACTACCCGATTAACCGATCATTCACATGCTTATTAGTTGATTATTGGTATTCGACTAGTCGCCAGCTTTTGACTATTCAAATAGTTGCTTTGCTTCGACTAATTGAGTATTGTAGAAAATCGAATTTCAGTAGCTGAACTTTGATTGAAATTTCTTGACAACTGAAAAATACAGATATGAAATATATATCGACACCTGAGTGGAATAGCGACCTATCGCGGAAGCCGCTGCCGATATAAGTCGATCTTCGATTCAGGTGTCGATATGCCCAGTGGGAAAATGGGAATGCATTACCTTTTTTGAACAAGAAAAGGTTAACAAATACGGTTGAACTAAAAGATGTATTGCAATGTAGGCGAGCGGATGATGTGTAGTTTTAAAGCCATAAACAAAACAAAATTGTTGGAGTACTAACTCAAGTATGTTGTGTTGTTGGTCACGCGTTCAAAGCCTGTGGCACGGACTTTATTATTTTAATTCTTTTCATAGATTCTGTTTGTAGTCTATTATTAGTATTGTGATTTGTAGTTTTGTAAAACGACATGTGAAACATTACTTTCGTATGACAACGCTGTAGAGCAATTCTTGGTTTTTTTCCTGTGTAGGCAAATAATTTTTGCATTACCTAACATTCCCACTAGGTACTTACATACAAAGAGCATGTTCCATATCTACAATTCCTCCAACCACACTGAACAACCATTAAAAAAAATCCATAGGAAAAATCGCGAAAATGAGAGGTTGGTATTGCTTAAAATATTCGATTACCCACAAATCAACGGTTAAGCGAATAATATAAAAAGAGCGGTCAGTAGAATAGCCCACATCTTTCGACTACTCGAATATTGGTTTAGCTTTCCAAGATCAAATTTTTATCATTTAAAATTTTGGTTTAAAAAACACCCAAAACCGTTGCTCATATACTCGTTTGTATGTTTGTTTAAACACAGTTTTTTTTTTATCCAAATAGTAAAACATTTTCACTACTCTTTTTCCTAAGTTCACAAATTTAGTCAAGGAATGTGAGAAAGCTTCTTTATACTGTTTCACAGGCTTTACAACTAATGCTCAGCAAACTCAACTAATTACCACCGTCTTATGCTCTTTATTAACCCGTTAACCTCCATAATATTTGACCTTCTGCTTATTGGTGCACAAGGTGTTAAGTGCCAACAGGTATTGCTTGCAAAGCACACACAAAAAACTTACTCAGCGTACGAATATATTTCTTCGAAGTATTTAACACAGCGCAAGCAAAGAAAGGAACGAATATTTATAGCCACAGGATCGACACACTTTTGGAACAAGAAATAGGCAAACAATAACTAACAAAATAAAAAACTAATGAAAACTAGTACAAGCAAAAAAAAACAAAGAAAAACGCGGTGTATATTATATGCATCATAAATATTAGCAACATTCGCAGCGGTGCAGCATGCAGTCGATGTTCGGTTTTCCCCAAAGCGACATATAAAATCGGGCAACAAAAGAATTTGTGGTTAAAAAAAAAAGTGTGCAACATATCTACAAACAAAAAAAGAGTAGAACATTTTTTGCTCCAAATCGGCAATCTGCCCGCGCATAACAAAAAAAAAAAAAAACAGCACATACATATCCAGACACATATGTACGTAGCATGTAGTCAGATTAGCAGCACGCGCAACAGGTGGTGTTGCATGGATTTTATAGAGGTTACAACAGCGAATTTGCGCCTGCCCGCTTCTGTTGGCAACGCTGCTGGAGCAGTTGGCAACAAGCGAATTAGAACAACAGTATTGCACTACCATATTACCTTCTGTATTGGCTGCTGTGTGAATGCGCGCGCCGCGGTCGGCCGTCGGCGGCCGGCGACTAGCAACCGACTAGCTGTACGGCTCACGGCGCACGTTGTCACGACACTTTGGCGTGCAAATTCTTGCCAACGGCATGCGCACAATATGAGATGAGCAAAAACACAAAAAGCAGCACAGTCAAATCAGCGGCGGTGGTGGAATCCAAAAAACCAAAATTTTTGAAATTAAAAGAACGAAGAAGGCCTGTGTGGCAAAGTTGAAGTGACGCGCATTGAACCACTGACCCGCTCGTGAGGAGGCATGCCACTGAACTGATTTGCTGAACAGTGCAACTAATTCCAACAACTGTTATGGTTGCTAATGAAGCAAGTATTGGCAGAAAAAAATTATAGCAAAGCAAATGCAATATTTGCAAAAAATATGTTTGTATGTATGTATATGCAACCATGCTGTAGCGGAGGTTATTGAACGCATACCTAGAAACCTATATTTGCTGCAGTGACCGGGAGAGGCAGCTAGGTTAGAGAAGAACAAGGGCAACAGCGTTGCGGCACAAGCATGTATGTCGAACGTTGGCTGCATGCATGCGATTGCCTGCTCGCGACCACAGAATAATCTCTTGCCCCTTACGCCGTCGCCTCATACTGCGTGCCAGGCAATAAAACTCGAATAATTTAGACATAGTAGCGAAGCACCGCGGCTTAGAGCAGCGATTGCCTAGCGTAATTGATTCATTATCGGTGCCGCGGTCGCGCGCTACCAAAAGAAATACCTGCCCCAGCTGCCCGTGCAATGAGCCGCTATTGAAAATGTGCCGAAAATTACGTGTGCGCGGCGAAATGCAAATTTTCGGTTGCCAATTTATTGCTGCCACAAAAGCCATTGCCACCGCCAGTGCCAGTGCCAGTGCCAGTGCTAGTGTCACGGCTAATACCAGCCCATTGTGGCTGTCGACGTGCTTGCCCCTGCAATTTGCCACTGTTGAAAAGCAATTGCATATGCAATTTTTGGTTGTGGCCACTATTGTTGCCCGTTCATAATTCGTTTGCCAAATCGTTGGCCCAGCAATTGACAATGCGCGGCGTGGCGCGAAGCGGCATGATTTGTGTTTGCGCGCGCAATTATGCAAATCTGCCTGCAACATTGCTTTGTGCTGCCGTATATGCAAGCGTAAAATATTGCCAAAGCCACTACTAAACAAACAATATCAAGTGAGAGCCAATCTTCGAAAAAATACCAAATTTTTTTTCTAAATAATAACAAAATATGCAGCGTGTAATGATGCGGGGTTAAATAAATGCGCGAAAAAATTGCAAATATCAAAAAGCAAACGAAAATAAAGTTTTATATAAATTTCTCGTTTCACCCCTTTTTCCCACATCCAACTCTTGCCATCAATACCATTCATTTATCGACATAACCATCGCATACTTACCATAGCCGTTGAGACAGGTGAGCGCATCATCGCCAATGCCGGCGTACACTTTATGATCGGCGCCCAACACATCGGCATCCTCCTGATTGAAGCCGAACTTATCGGTGATTTGAATGGATTGCACCAGCAGTATATTATCGTCGGCGGCATGTTTGTTACTTTTGTTGTCGTTGTGATTGTTTTGATTGCTGCTACTGCTACTCACATCGCGTCTCTCACGTTGCGCATGCGCCATGGTACTTAAAAGGAATTCAGCTGTAAAAAATTGGTGAGAAAAGCAAACAAACCAAATGCAAATTAAATTTCTAACAATTGGTTATTGTCCAAAAAAAAATTAGAGAATAAAAGAAAATTCCAAATTCATTCGAGTCTTCCAAATCGCAAATCAATTCAATATTTGGCCTCAACTTCAACTCACCGCCATCTGTTCCATTTGCCACCGAACGCCGTCTACGTCCGTACGACACTAACGATTTTGCATCGGCGCCGCCCATAACAGCATCCTCGTTGTCACAGATCACTGGCTCACAGCGCGGTATGCAGGGTGTAACTAGCGCGCGGAATTGCACCACCTCTGAGGAGGGGAATTTGAAGGCATCGAATTGTGAGACGAGCACCTTGCGGCTGTGCGACATCTTTTGTATAGCGCCCATAATATATTGATCTGTGGGACAGCCGTTGGCGTCGATCAGCGTGATCTCGGCATTGTCTGTGCCATCCATGGCTACCAATTCGCGCACGAAAATCTCATAGGGACTGTTTTGTTCGACGATTTCGAAGCGTAGCGCCAACGGGTCACCAACCTCGGCAATGCGTTTCATATCGCTGCCATCACGTGAGGTGATCTTCATAACAACATTTGGTGAGTCGATAATGATCTCTTCGCTTAGTGAAGATTCGATTTCACCAGTGACACCCAAATCAACATCGTTCGAGACAGTTTTGTTGGTCAGGTCGTATTGGCATGAAACAGCAAGACCCAAATCGGATGAGGTTACAATCATATCGTGATGTTGAATAACAATGTCGTTCATGTAACGGCCATATGCGCTCTGACGTACATTGCACTCCAAATCATTGTAGCCCATACGGAAATCGAATTCGAGTGAGTTGTTCACATTCACCGAGCAGGATTTGGGTGATCCCTTGGCGTAGACCTTGCCGTCGAACAGTTTTGATGTGCGTATTTTGGTGATCATTTCGCCGGAGCGACATTCAATAGATACATTGTAGCAGGAAGAGAGTTCATAGGTGGCAGCTTCGGGTACATCCAGGTAGGGGTCGAGCACATCGGTAAGCGTGGCGCGGCTGTGATGCGAGAGGCGGCAGACCATGTCGCCGGTATCATTGTAGTCATAAGAATGACATCTGGAATGAAGAAGCATAATGTGGTGTAAAATAGGGGAAACAGTCAAAGGTACAATTTTATTCTAAGGGAAACTGAAAGCCATTTGTAGGTATGGCGCAGAAAGTCGATAACTTTGTGCCACACGGACACAAACAAAAAGTTATCGCACACCGTGTAACTGTTTAGTTAATTTATGGCTTTTTTTTTATTTTATAAACTCCCTAACTACTTGGTAGCCTTTGCTTTAAAAAATTATTGACATCATCCTTATTTGGAATTAAACCGAAGAAATCTTACCTGTATGGTGAGTTCAAACACAGNGTGAAAACGACATTTGATTTAACTAGAATTTTAATTCTGCTGAAGTACTTTTCCATTAACGGCACTTGAGTTAAGCGTTTGATAAGTATGATAAGCATTCGAATCTTCAAAAGTTACAAACTTCGATGGAAAAAATTTAAATCTTGTAAGCCAAGTTGCAACAGGTCAACGAAATATATAAACGTAAATTTTATTTTAGCGTTGCTATACTCTTATGAACTGAACTGAACTGCATTAAAGCCCTTCAACACTTGTAAGAGCTTATCTAAGTAGAGTGAGCTAGCAACGTGTTGCATTTGACCCAATTATGCAGCAGCTGTAAAAACAAAAGAGCACTTAACTCTCTTTTAATTTTCTAGCATGGCCACTTCGTGCTGCAGTCGCTGCTTCTCAATTCTCAGCCATCAATGGCCGCCCTTACCACCCTGCGGCACTCATATATTTAGCTGTATATTCACAACACTTACCTGCACGTAAATTCGGTTTCGCCCAAGCACAATTCCAAGCAGTCACGGCGCGTATAGACAGTCTGGCTCGACTTGACATGATCCACCAGGCGATAACCTTGAACGCGATCGATGCACCAGGCCTTCGAGCAAGGACGCACACCCAAACAGGATTTCTGTGCGTAAATGGTGAAAACTGGAAACTGTGAACGCGAAAGTGAACCTGAAAGCAGGCGAAATTAAAATCGCAAGCCAAAAAAAGGAAGAAAACCTCACATAAATGTAAATGAGCAACACAAATATGTGCATATGTATGCACATTACTATACGGGTACATGTATAGCTGAGTAGGCAAGAAAATACGCATGTACGTACGTAAGTTAACGAAATGTTTAGCGACACGCATGCACGCACTGTAACGGTAACTTGCGTAGCGCCAATGTCCTCAGCAGCAGCAGCAGCAGCAAAATGTGCTTACGCACACGCCCATTTGCTGCAAAGGAACAGGCGTTAAGAAATCGGCAGCGCGTGTATGCGAAAGATTCGAATGGCTGGTGGCTGGACAAACTAGCACCTGCCAGCTACATAACAGGCGCGGCGACAAAAAAGGCGCAAAAATTGTGCGTTAGGCCTATGTATCGACTGCGAGGTGAAAATAAAATAAATATTCGCTAAAAAAAAAGTCCATCAAATAAGCCAGTTGAAAAAAAAAAAACAAAAAACAATATCAAGGAGATGGCGAGGTGGGCTTGACGTACAGGAGGAATGCAGCGCTGAAATACAAAACCTGTTGTTGGCCGCTGCACATTGCCTGTTGCATGCTACACGCTGCCTTTGCTGCCTACTACCAGCATGGCCTCATAAAGTGGCAGCACATAATTTTATGCGTAAAAAGTAGGTGTGTACGCGCACGTTGAGAGCGTCGCCGATTATACAACACAGCATATACAATTTACCACAATCAATTTACTACAGTTTAGCAGCGGATGGCGCATAGCGGCAAGCAAGCAAGCAAAGCCAATGAAAAATGAAGCAAATAATATTTTTTACAACAACTTTGTTATGATTTTTCGAAGCGAGTTCGCGACCGGAGTCTTTTGTTTTTTCCCAGTATTTTTTCTGTTTCGTTTTACTACGATGAAATGCAATACTTTGCGCATTCTCTTGAACTATCGATTGCATGGCACTCGCGGGCGCACAGTGATCACACTAGAATGCGCTACAAATATACCAGTTTGACGGCCTACAATATACCGCTGTACCGCTAAGCTGCACTTATGTACATACATGCTAATGCATGCATATACATACATACATATGTACAATATGTAAAAGCCACATTTATAAATATTATGACGTTGGCGACGCTGCGGCGTTGGTGCCGCAGAATCCGCTTACCCACTTACCTGGCAATATATCAGCGGTAGTTTTGAATAAAACACAGAGACCGGTCTCGTAATTAACTGCACTGCATGATTCGTTCACCTGGCATGCCTCTAAGCAATCAGTCAGCATCAGTATGCCGGGCAGCGTGTCAAGTAATTTAGTTGGCGCCGAGAGAACATAACTGCAATAAATAGAGAGAAGAACGGGGTAAAATTAGAAAACAAGAAGAATGTCATGAGTTTGGTTGGTAAGCAAACTAGAGTGAAGCATATGCATCTACAAACTAGACGCTGAAATAACAGAATGCATGTGTTACGAATTGAATGTATTAGAATCAAGAAAAAAGTTTGCATATCATATGCATATGTATTACAAACACATGTGATGTGAACACCGATTTTCTCTTATAGTAAATTGGGTTATTACGCGTTATTATGTAATGTGCAAAAAAGCTACACTTCTGCTATGAAAATTGTGTTGCCGCATAATAATGAAAACAAGTAAGAAAGTCTAAGTTCGGGCGGAGCCGAACATTAAATACCCGGCGCAAGTATTAAATATATGTTTTCCACCTTTCCGAAAGCTACCGCTACATGATAAGCCGGGGTGTATACATTTTAAGTAAATTAGCGTCCTTAAATTTCGAAATATTGAAATTTCAAGCATATCTGAAATTTACCGTTATATGAAAAGCGGCCTCAATTTTAGTCCGATTTCAACAATTTTCAACGGTTTGCTTTTATGTGGCAAGCACAATAACCATACCGAGCTTGGTACAAATTGCTAGAACGGTTAGCGAGATACATATAGTGATCATAAGTGGGCGGGGCCACGCCCATTTTCCAAAATTTTATCATAAACGTATTTCTTGGTAAAGAATTGTTGCAAGCATCAATTTTGAATAAATTAGCTTCAATAT